ATCTGGTGAGATCGACCAACGAATCTCTTCTTCATGCACTTTCATACGAAATGAAGGTCCCTCTAAGAATCTCGCATTTGTTTCTTTCCTTCTGCTAACTATGACATCCATCGACTTCAACATCACTCTTCGAAAACTAGCCTATTTTACATATAATTTTGCTTAGTCTCTCACAAAGAGGAATTAGATCCTTCAAAAACAGCTCATGTCTAGCTACATTTTCAGGTTCATACATCCTGTTCCAACAATGAGCACTATAATAATTAGATTTCACAAACCAAAATTTTGCTGAAAATATCATACCTACTTGGCCCGGTCTTTTTGATCATATCATCATTGTTTCTCTGCATGCATTAATTTAATATTTCCGTAATTACTTCTTGGTTTAATTTAAATTGGTTATATTTACTAACGGTAAATTCATCACAATAAGTGAAAGAAAATCTTTGAAAGTGACATTTATCTTTACATATAATTTTAGCTTTTATAGTATTTCTATTATTTCTATTCTATTTATCTTTTGCTCTCAGATAGTGGGTTTAAAACTTTTTGCAGATTGCTAACCTAGGTTTGTCAATTAATAGCATTTATCCTAGGAATACTCAGACATTTATTGTATTTTACGAGGATGGTCTAACAACCCACGATGAATTAAATTAAAAAACCTAATTTATCAAGTAGTTTGATTGTGCTTTTTAATATTGTTTTTAATTCTGCATAAGATACATTTCAATTTCATCTATTTTCCATCGTGACTTATTTAAATTGCATTAACGATCATACTTCTTTAGGCTTTAGGTAATTTTCTTGATAGAGATTTAATGCAATATCAATCTATCTTGTCTTGAAAATCACTTCTATAGTAAGTGCATTGCTGCCTTTGCCATTCAGTCTATCGTGTAGTGTTTAGGTAGCTTAATCTTCTACCCCTAAATATCAACATATATATACTTATTATAGCAGTAGGATCAGTTTCGAAATCAACCCACCGCAATAACTTTAAAAAGCGATCTATTTCTCTATCCTGTTTTACTAGACAAAAATATTCGCATTGCCAGGTATCTCAAAAGAAGACGGCTGCATCAAAAATCTTGTGAGTGCCGCCAACAATCAGATTCTTCTCTGTTCTCTTCCGGCTGCACTACAAACAGCTAAAAAGCCCAAAGAAAAATCATTTAATTCAAGTTCGCATACCACTCGCTCTTTGTCTCGCTCCTCCACACCTGGGGAGCTGAAACCGATCAAGGTCAAGCGGCGTTCTACTCCTGGAACTAATATTGATCTTGACTCTAGGCAAAATGAAGAGACCGGTACATGTGTAACATTTGCTGAGGCTGCAGTAGATAATAATAATACTTCCGCTGGTGCTGCGGTTATAGACACAAATAATATTATCGAAGAAGGTCCAGAAGTCAATATTCTTGGAAAACTGGGCGACTGTGTTGACAATTTAACCGACAAAGTGAGTATGATTCTGTTTTTACTCATTACTTTAGCCTATATTTTGGCTTAGTTTCCATAAAAATAGATTCCTATCAAGCATACATTAACAGGGCAGCCTGACAATTATTATTTATCTTTTTTTTGGTGCTTCGTTCTCTTTCACAATCCTCTTATTTGGAA